ATTTAAGACTTCTTCTCAAGAACCACAGGGCTAATTTAATCCTTGGGGGAAGGGGAGTTTAAATTGTTAAAATGAAGGGCCAAGACCCTTCACAAAGGAAGATAATCAAGAAAAGACAAAATTAGGATGGGGTCATTAAAAAATCTTCTTCTCAAGAAGCACTGGGCCAGAAAAGCTTAAACTTATGTGGAAGCATCCTGGGATAGGGTAGATTCTGCATTTTTAAAATTATGACGCCCTAGTGGTAGGGTGGGGTCACAAAGGTTATTACCATGGAGATTATCCCGTATCATCGTGCCATCACTTCATCGACATCGCGCTATCGCATCATCACTTCATCGTTATGGTATTATAGTGTCATCGCATTATTGACCCAGACCTCGATTGTGCGATGATGCGATTTTGAAATACATGTCCCTATCCGGATTCCATACATTACCCTTGTTTGTCAATACTGCAACCAAAAGTGTGCGTGTGTGTGTGTGCGGGGGTGGAGGGCAACTGAAGTCTAGAAAAATAAGTGAGGGAGCTAGGCCAGGAACCGGTGTAACGTTGAATGTTGACCCCGGGTTGAAAATTGACCCAGGGGTCATTTTTCAACGTTGAATACTGAGACCTAAGATATTGAATTTATACCCTAGTCCGTTGAAAACTGAGCCGGGTCGTGGAATTTTGATCATGAAACCGGTTCTTAATTCAACAGCATAAAAACACATATTTATGACTTGGTTTCACAACATTGATTTAATCCATGGGCGTCGGGAGGGGGGTAGGGATGCTTAGCCCCCCTCCACATTCTGCAAGATAGACATAGTTAATATAGGCATTGAACAAAGTGAAATTGGTTTAGCCCCCCTTTCAACAGGCACGTTACAGTGTTGTCAAAGAAAGAGGAGTTAGTGCTTGATAAAAAGAAAAAGAAATCGGATCCTAACACCCCCATCCCCATCCCCCCACTCCCCAAAAAATAGCATTTTCTGGTTTGGACTACTAATTTTGACAATGGACAATTTTTTGTCAATTATTTTTAAAATTTAATTTTTTTTCTTTTTCAGTTATCCCCCCGCACTTTCAATTTGTTCCAATATAATCAATACACAGTTAATTCAGTTATATTGAATTTCTTAGAATTAAATATAAACAAAAATATCTTAGATTTTAAAGTTACTTATTGTAGTTTAGAATCGCAATATTTCGTGTAATATTTATTTAAAAAAAATCATTAGTGTATGTAAATCATTAGTAAATGTAAATCCTATTAGTATACATATAGTTACACAATATATACAATTTAGTTCAGATATTTGTTTATCTATAATATTTGCTTTTAGCTAACAACACTTCATTTATTTCAATCTCAAAATTCGTAATATTAGTATTTGGGAAATGGTGAGAGTTTAACGCATGATGCATGTACGTTTTAATGCCTATTAAGTTATGCACAACATTAATAACTTATAATGTCCTACTTGAAAAACGGATTTTTTTACAAAATAAAAGGTTTAGTGATCTTTTTGGCAAAGTTTATCAAACAGTTCAAGAACGAACCCCACAATACATATATATTTTGTAAAGTAGAGGATGGAAGAGGGGGGGGGGTGATCTCCCCTTTTTGTGATGTTTCAATTTGCTAATAAAATCTTGTTTCATGATAGATTTAGAGATGATTGTTTCATCAATTTCAATTGTTCTGAGACTGAGACTCTTGATTTCTTTGAACTTGGCAATCAGTGTCATCCGCACTTAAAATTCACCTTTGAAATTTCTGTTGATTCAGTAAATTTTTTAGACACAAAAGTGTATAAAGGAAGAAAATTTCAACAATCAAACAAACTTGATATTAGATCTTACATAAAACCAACAAAGAATTTCCAATATCTGCACAGAGAAAGTTCTCACAACCCAGCGGTATTCAAAGGTTTCGTTAAAGGCAAATGCAAAAGACATGTGAGAAATACCAATGACACTGCTCTCAGTATTATTCTACAAGACTTTAAGAAACACTTGTCAAAGAGAGGCTTCTCTGATACAGAAATAGATCCTATTATCACAGGAATAATTGGAACAGACAGAAATGAGATCCTAAATAAAAGTAACGGCCAATTGAGACCTCACAATAAATTGGTTATGGTTACAAAATATAATCCGAGAGTCAACGGACCAAAAAAGCATCTTAAAATACTGGAACGAAACGAAAGAAGACACAAGATGCAAAGAAATATTTACCTCGGAAGCTATTTAAGCTTATAGCAAAGACAAAAGCAAAGGCGATTATGAGATAATTTTTATAGATCATGTTTACCACAAGAATACACTGCTAAGGTGGACCCCTGATGAGGTAGGACTTAGGGCAAGTACCCGTTACAAAAACTACCGAACACTTTTTACTATATTCCTATATATATTAATGAATACGTATATTTCCAGCAGAAAGGAATGCCTGGTTTAAAAGTTTGGTTTAGAGTGTAGGGTCCTAATAAATTTCATGGACAAGTTTGGCTGATTGATGTCTTAATTTTCACACCGGGTTTCCAGGATTTTTGTTTATGCCCTATTCATAGTTTTGTAGTTATTTATGGATGCTATGGATTTTAGAAAGTATTGTCAAAAAAAAAACACCGGCATACGGTGACATCTCGAGAGGGACGTTAAACAATATATATACAATTAATCAATATAAAAATTAACTTGCCATGCTTAAAGATAACTGAAATCATGCACTGATCAAAATTAACATATATACACTGGATGATAGGTTTATTTCTATTACTCTTGAAAAGGGAAAAATTGAAACCGAAATATAAGTATAGAAATACTGATCGATAAATCCCATAAATCAACCTCCAAATTCAAATAATGTTCAAACTCTGAGGTGGGGTCAATATTCAACAGGGTCAATTTTCAACTTGTTGTGGTCATCATGAATAAGAAAAAAAAATTATCAAGCTGTTGAAAAATGACCCGGGGTATAAATTCACGACTTTTGGTCTCAATTTTCAACGGAGAAAAAACACCCCTGGTTCAATATTCAACGTTGAAAAATGACCCCCGGTTCAATTTTCAACTCGGGTCAATATTCAACGTTACACCGGCATTAGTTTTGTGAATAAAGGTTTGCAAAATAATTTGATAAACAGCAGCCTTTTCTGGCCAACCGAAGAGGTTTGACATGCTACTGACTCTGTTTCACAATGGTGGTAAATTTGCTGTATGATCCAGTGTAAGTATCGACCCTTATTCTGGAGAAGCTGTCTGTCCTTTTCTGACTGTACACAGGATTTTAAATAAATTGGAAAATGTTTCCTCAACGTTTTTTCTGTCGTTTGTTTTTCTATCTGACCTCATGATCTTCATTGTTTCTGTAAATCCAATTTTCCTTACTTTCTTTTTATGGTTTAATAGTATATTATGCAAAACAGAACACGGAAAAACAATAGGTATTCTGACTACTGATTTGGTGGATTTTTATCATCATCATCATCATCTTTTCTTCTTGATTTTATTTCACTTGCTGGTTTCTGGAGAGAAGTTATGTTTAGTTGTCAGTTTGCCATACAAGTTTTTCTATAGTAAAACACGAAACATGAAACAAATGTCAACCCCTCTGATGTCTTTCATTTCGAATTCAATGAGAGAAATGTTATACATCTCGGCCGAATGACATCTTGTTCATGACAGGTCGGCAAAGATTTGAGACAATACGAAACATCAGCCCAAGTAAATTATTATATATGTACAATCCTAGCTGCAGAACTGTAGCTCTCCGAAAAAAATATTTTGACAGACTGGAGAGCTACAGTGCCACCCCTTGAAAACTGTTTAATTATAGGGCACAATAGGTTGCGCATGCTTATGGATCAATTCTTCCAAATTCTTACCTCAATTGCAAAAAATTTAGATTTCAAAAATTTCCTTACTCATATATCAAATACTTTCGTAGTTGACATCTACACGAAGCGCTTTGGGCCGAATTCTCTTGCAAACCAAAATGGCAGTAAAAGTAGACGAAATTCTCGATGATCTCGATTTCAGGGCCAGGAGGGCTGTTAACAACAATTATAACGAATGTTTTGTTGAGGAAACAGTGAAAATATATGCTAGGAACACATGGTTAGTAAGATTTTGAGATTAAAGTTTGAAAAAAAACATTGAGAATTAAATCCATAAACAGCGCGTTTTTTGTGCGCAATAAATATTCAGTTTTTTCAATGGGTTGCACTGTAGCTCTCCGGTCTGTCAAACTATTTTTTATTGTAGAGCTACAGTTCTACAGCTAGTACAATTCCTGGTGTCACTTTTATCAATGATCTCTAATTGGTGCTGTGTCAAATTTTAATTCTCAATTATTTTAATCATTGAATAAAAGAATTGAAAGAAATCTTAATTGCAAGCAAGTATACAAATAATTTTTGCTCTCAAGTGCTATCTGGGGACTAAAAACATACAAAAACTAAGTATCAAATAGTTATTCCAACAGACACATAAAAAGAACAATTTCCAAAACCTTTATTAAAAATGTATTAGTATTCTATGATAGCAAAATTAGTTACAATAAAAACAAAGTTGTTTAAAATGTTTGTGCTAGTCTTAAAAGTGATACAAATACCAATCGGTCTCAAATAAAAGATTAAAACTTCTGTTTTAAGTTTTGTAATATTTTAAAACATGATATCTGAACTGATCAGATTTAACCAATTCCTTCTGAAGACAACTTAAAAATAAATTTAAAATAAAACTTTTTTCTCTACTTTTCACCTTACATTTATCATATAGATAATTTTCTTTCCAAATTTAACAATTAATCGTAAAATCAAATGTCAAATGAATCATGAAGATTGAATATATTTTAAAGAAAACTCTGAATTTTCATGGGAGTTTAATTTTTGTAATTTTCGAGTCATTAAAAGACCTACGCATTTGTCCTACAAGAAATATAATTCATAGATATAACTAATCATCAATTCTTCATCCTTTTTCATCCTGGAAATAAAATCCCCACGCACCCATATTTTCCATTAAACCACGAAAGTTTGGCTTCAAGAAAATATACCATTTTTCAGTATTCTTAATTACAGTGAACCATGTTCAATCAAACTGCAACATATGTTATTAATTTGTAAAAGAACATGCATAATCAATGCCTATAGCATGCACATCGAATATTTCATATCTAATTACATGTGTATAAGAAAACCAGAGAAAGTAGTGATGGGACCATCGTGGTAATAGCCTGAACCAGAGTAATGTTTGATCCACACTGCGTCTCCCTTCTGAATAGTCAGTACCACCAGATTGGGACCTGCTTCGTAATAATCATCACTTTTGTTACTAACGGCCATAGTTCTGACTCTAGTTGATCCATTCAACACAATGTCAACATATATGGTTTCTCTATAATAGCTTTGAACATTCAGGAAGAAGACGTACATCCCGGCGATAGGAGCTGTAAATATTCCGTTACTTGGGTTGTATCCATTCCCTTCATTGGTGATAACAGAAGGAAAAACAAGCGTTCCACTGATCCATGATGTGCTGCTGGATGATACTGAGGCGGAGAAAGCTACCTTCTTAGACTTACCTACAAATATAATTCAAGGTTAGTTTTTTATTTACTTATTGAAGATTAAAGGAGATCAAAGGAATTGTGATGTATGCATCAAATCAAAACATAGCAAAAGTTGATACATAATACTTAAATACCAGCTTCTTGTATTTGTTAGAAGATTACAAATATTGGCTTTGAGGATACAGATCGAAAAGTGCGACCTCGTATAGTGCTATCGCTTCTTATTTGCTATATTCCTTCATTTAATTTGATTTATTACCTATGTTATTCGTCACATTCATTCGGAACACCTCAAGAGAAGACACAGTAGAAGACAGCTGTAGTTGGACATGCTTTAATTGTTTCACTTCCGCCATCATGTCTTCTAATGTTTTACTGATGTTCACTGAAATCAAAATATGAGAAGAATAAATTTTCCAACATATATAAATCTAACTTGTGCATTTTAAGATCAGTGCAAATTTTTATCATCAGAATTAATGAATGTTGATCAATTAGATGTAGCATTTTAAGTAACATGCAACGTATTAAATCAGTCGAAACATTACTCCAGCTATTATTTAAAGATATTTTTTCCGAAATAAACAATGTTTTACATTGTATCTTTTCGAATTAAATACTTAAAAGAAAAAATTAAAATAGGATTATTAAGAATTATCAAAATGAAGCTTGAAAGAATTTTTGTGGAATACTTTTTGTTTATTTATCTTAATAGAAGTCAAGGCTTAACAAAATGCCCATGGGATATATCGCTCACCTGAGTAGCTTTGGCCATTCTGTCATTTAACAAATTCCCACCTTCGTAATACATACCTTGACCTTGACAATCCTAAAGGGTTATAATTCGAACTATTTAGAATCTACACTACCCCAGGTTGTTTCCACATAAGTTTCAGCTTTTCTGGCTTAGTGGTTCTATAGGAACGAAGATTCTTAGTTTTTTCTATATATTACTAAGTAAAATTTGGTATCCCTACTGTGTTTTTTCCTATATATTTCTATGTAAAAATTGAATTCCCTATTTAGGCCCCGCCCTACCCCTGGGGGTCATGATTTCATCAATATAGACTCTACACAACCTCAGGATGCTTCCACTTATGTTTCAGCTTTTCCGGCCCAGTGATTCTTGAAAAGATTTTGAAAGTTTTTTCCTATATATTTCTATGTAAAACTTTGATCCTCTATTGTGGCGCCGCCCTACCCCAGGTTGTCCTGATTTGAACAAGAGTCTACACTACCCAATGATGCTTCCACATAAGATTCAGTTTTTCTTATTCAGTGGTTCTTGAGAAGAAGATTTTGAAAGTTTTTCCCATATATTTCTATGTAAAACTTGGATTCCCTGTTGTGGCCCCGCCCTACCACCGGGGGTCATGATTTGAACAATTTAGAATCTACACTACGTTAGGATGCTTCCACATTAGTTTCAGCTTTTCTGGCTCAGTGGTTCTTGAGATGATTTTTAATGACCCCACCATATTTTGGTATTTTCTTGATTACTGAGTATCTCCCCTTGGAAGGCGACTTGGTCCTTCATTTTAATATTTTCAATTCCCCTGCACCAAAGGATGCTTTGTACCAAGTTTGTTTAAAGCTGGTCCTGTGATTCTTGAGAAGAAGTCGAAAATGTGAAAAGTTTAGAGACGGACAGACAGACAAACAGACAGACAGAGACGGACAGTCAGACGGACTACAGACAAAATGTGATCAGGAAACCTCACTTGAGCTTTCAGCTCAGGTGAGCTAAAAACGATTCTTGAAAGTATACATTTATACATACCTTATAATATACTCAAGATTAATTAATTTTCCTTATATAATGATTATGTAGAATAAATATTTCTTAAGAAAAATTATCGGGTTTAAACATTGCTTTGTGAGTTCGGTAACGCTTTTTCATAACTATTTTCAATGACTTGACTGTTGAATTGTAAAACCTTAGGAATGACATCAAAACATTGATAGATTATGCATTTCTAAGTACAACTAGTTCAATTTTATGTTTATACATTTGCTTATAAATGTTCTCGATCAGTGATGAACTTTAATGAAAGGAAGTCAACCTTTACTTTTAATGTTCATTTACTTACAGTTAGTCACTTTTTTTTCTCCATTTAGAGAAACTTTTGTAATTAATAGTAATCCGTTTATGAAAACTAAAACCTTGAGAGAATATAATCCTCGAGACACCATATTCCTGAAAAACGCACCTTATATGCAATTCCTTCGACCAAAACAGCTTATACAAACAAAACAAAATGATGAACTTACCAGATATTGAATTTTTTATAGTATTTTGTGAGTTTTCAAGGTCAGACACGGATTTAAGCATTGTTTTATTTGTTGTCATAATATCATCGTTCAAGTTCTCCACAGAAGTGTTCAATCTCAAAGATAACTGATCATATTTTTCTTGCAACATTTCAGGAAATTTCTTGTCAATTGCTAAAGTATGTTTATTTAAGTCCAGAAGGGTAACGGACAGGTACCGAACTTCCACTTTAAGATCCGCCAGTACATTGCTAGCGTTTGTTTCAAAACGTTCTCTTTTCTCTTCCAGTTGTTCCACAACCTGTTGATTTTGTTCGTCGACTTTGGTGAAATTTTCTCTAACAGCTCTGAAAGATTCTTCATATCGCCTATTTTCAAGTTCAAGTCTTCGGTTTTCTCTTTTCAGTTCATCAACCTCCTGTTTTAAGGCGGTCACCTCTACGTCTGTTTTCTGCTGGGATGTTTTCAATGTCTGCATACTTTTCTTCAGATCCAGCATGTCCTTCATTAAAGCGTGAACGTTCTTCACCAGTGACATTCTGATGATTGTTTCTTGGTTCAGTAACTGTCGGAACACGTCCGTATTTTTGGATTCCGGATCACTGATATCCAGTAAAGATGAAATGTTGCCACTACTGTCCGTAAATATGGACAATCCATTTATTTGTATGAGAAAAGCAAACAATAACGTAAACAGCAATGTTTGCTTCATATTGAAAATCAGAGAAGTGATAACGATCCAAGAGAATATTGAGCCTTATATACATTTGCTTATAAACTTTGACCTTTTCTATTGCATGTCACATGCGCACATCGTTGAATTCGTTAAAAGATGAGTTGGCAAATATTAAAAACTGCTTTCGACTCTTATTGACGTAAGTTAACTTCCTCTTTAATGTTCTTTTTTATAATAAAATTCAAAGAAATTCTTATAGAAGTAGAAGCCAGATAAAGAATATTTGAAATGTACGTTTATGTCGATAGAAAAAGCTTCTATTTATAGATGCACCATCCTTTCAGCTTTGAGTTAAAAAAGAATTAAAAAGACAGTTATAAAGTGGACATTCAGACAGTGTTGTGAAAAACCCAGCCGATTCATTGTGTAAATAATGGCCTTACAATTAGTATATAAAAGTTACCTCGGTAGTCGTTATTTAATGACTGCTGAATCCTTCATCGACTTTTTTGTCAATAACTTACTCCGTTTTTTTTAAAAAAAATGCTCATATATAGAGCATTTTCCTCCGTATCGATCAAATGAGAGACACTAATCCCATATGCATGCAATAAGGATATATTGCTAAATAAGTAAGAAAAGTTGACGATTGAAAAATTCGTCATCATGTTTGTCATAAGGCATTATTGTTAGCTGATCATTGACGTCTTTTTCTAGTAAAATATGCAAATAATAACAGATGTGTCCGACTCTTTGTATCTTTTATTCCTCCCGTATAGATTTTTTTAGTAAATTCTGCTTCATATTAATACAAAAAAAGGTCTAGATCTGTTAAAAATTGAGCGCAGTTGATACTCATGGGAATTTCTATAAATTGCTAGAAGACCTGATTTCCAAAAACTACACAGACATCGACAATCAGCAACTCAAGGACTTTTTTAATATAAGGTACTGAGTACCTGTGTGTACAATTACTGTGATTTTAACAAAATAATTTTGCAAATAGCCAATGACAAGGTTTCTATATTTACGAGTTCCATTTTTATTGAAAAGCAATCTAACAACACATCTGTAAGTATTCAGGTTTGTCTCGTAGAACATTCAGTCTTTAAAATCATGCTTTCAAAATTCGTATTTCTCCCTAATTTCTCCATATAAAGTAGAAAAATGATCATTTCTCATGAGCTAGTATACCTCGCTGTTGACTTGGTGAGAACTGAATATTTTTATTGTCTAAAATGATACTTCATTGACATAAAGTTGTGGCATGTCATAGACGTCGAGGAAACTACCTTATATGGATATTGTTGCGATTGCGCACAGAGGTGCTCACAGCAAACAAAAGTCCAATCCAGTGAATGAGCCGAAAAGCATGATGGTCTACTACATGTTTATTTTTACTATAAACACGTGGGTCAGGGAAATTTAGGAAGCGATTTCAAATGACTGCAGGAAAGTCAGCTAACATTTTTTTGAAACGTGTTTATGAAAAATACAAAGATTAGGTACTAATTAAGATTCTCCATGCTCACATTAACAAACAAAGTCAGTTTTCCTTGTTAATTTGTACATTGAAATACCGCTCACAAAGTCTTCACAGGTAAATAAGATTCGAGTTGTTTAACTTGATATTCGTTAATTTGCCATGTAACTGGTTAAATTAGTTATTGCTCAGTTATTTGTTATTAGAAATTAAAAGTATCATTTTATAAACAAAGAAAATACACCCCCAAAAAACACTTAAGTTGCACTTTTTTTTTAATTTACCTGTCATAAAAACCCGGCAGGGGATGACAAATCCCATTGCCCGACGCCCGGGGCTAGTGAATTTTATGGGTGGGCAAGTGAAATTTTATCAACCACTTGCCCGTGGGCAAGTGAATTATCAAAAATATAATTTATTTGCAGGCCATAAATTTAAAGCTGGGCATAGGGGCTTGCATGATTTAATCAGCATTTGTCTTCCTCTTTTTTGAAATATTTAAAAAATACAGAATTAGTTTATGGTAGGGCAAGCAAAAATTCAGGTAGGGAAAGTCAATTTTTACCATGTACTTGCCCTTGGACAAGTGCCTTGAAAATCTATTTGTCAGCCCCTGGGTAACCCATTAGCATATTGATCATAAAACGTGACTAGCATGTATTTCGAAATTGTATACGTTGTAAACAATGACAATACATGAGCACACCTCAGAGTTGATTGTTTTTGAACCAAGGAAGTCACGTGAAATTGACTTTTCACTGAAAACACAGCACGGGGGGAAACTGTTAACAAACGGATTTGTACAATAGAGTGGAGAAAACCCTAATTTTAATCATTGTAAATCATTTGTATATAAATGTGAGCATGGAATTAGAAGATAATGATGTTCATAGCGTATTAAGTGTGTAAAATGCTTGGAAAAATGCATCACGTTTTTCCGAGAGTGATTTAAAATATTGGCTTTTTCAAAACACACGTGTGGTATTTTTGTAGTAGCCCATAATGCAACTCATTGAGCTGATTGGTCGATTTGCCAGTCACGTTGGTTCCCCACTTAGCTTGTAAATTTGTTCCGACGTCACAGAAAATAGTTTCCTCGACCTGTTATACAATGTATAAGTAATTTAAATATCAGATATTAATTTCATTTCTGAAACTTCATGAGGAACATGGACTACAAAGCTTTTCGTGAAATATGCAGGCAAGAAGCGTCTTATTTCATGTTCTCTGGTTTTTCAATGCTGAAATTTCTTAATCAACTAGCGAGTCCTTAGTTTAACATTATTAATTTTATGCACACGTTCTGCGCAATATGTTTCTTCCCAGCCGAATTAATAAGCCAAGATTAGATGACATTGAAAAATCTATACTCGTAGTACTTTTTGTACTGCAAACTTGCTTTTTCAAGTTCCTTGAAGTCTGACAAATGTCCTTTCTCCACTGAGGACAGATTAAAATATGATATTTCAAATTTTATTAAACAAGAAAACCGGAAAACGTTGTAATGGGTATTCCCTCGCTGTAATAATTTGACCCACTATGACAGCTTGCCCACACTCTGTCCCCTTGTTGGATATTCAGCGTCACCAGGTTAGATCCAGAATCGTAAAAATCTTTACCCCGTCCCCCGTCAGATATTGTCATTACCTTGGCTCCTCCATTATGTACAATAGATACATACAATGTGTCACTGCTATACCCCTGGGCACTGATATAGAAAACATACTGTCCGGCCGTTGGGCGGTAAAGATCCCTGTACGTGGGTCATATCCACCTCCAACGTTATTGATGACCACAGGAAATACTAATGTACTTCCGCTTACGATTACTCCATGACCTGTGGTACCAGCTGAAAAGGCAAGCTTCTTGGACAAGTCTGAAAGAATGTTATAATGCTGAGATGGTTTATCATTAAACTGAAATTTATAAGAAATACGAGATAATTGTTTCAATGCGAATTTCATGTTGAAGAGTTGTTCAGTAAGTAATGATTCTTACATAAGGACCCCTGATTTATAGGAATTGGTGCATACATTAAACAGTCTTTCTACCATTTCAAATTTTATGATGATATTGCATTTATCTTAAAAACATTTACTGATGGATATTCATTTTCAGTAATAACAAGCTGAAGTAAAATGTTATGCTTATTATGTTGATATGCTTACATACCCGTCGGTGATTCTCTAGAGACTATGATTACTTACTCTCAACTCCTTTCAAAAAATTTTTATTTGCATTGAAAAGGTGTTCCACTTTCTTTTCTAGATCTATATTTGATGAAGTTATCTCATCGATCATCTTCTCAGTCTTCTGATTCCCATTGTTGATGTGTTCCACTTTCTTTCTCAGATTTGTATTTGTTCAAGTTAAGCTATCCATCCTCTTCTCAATCAAAATTATGTATGTAATGAGAAAAGCAAGAAATAAACCTAGAAGGGCTTCTCGTAACATGTTGTCTATATTAAACTCCAAACTGGGAGGTTTTAAATTGCTGGACATTTAAATAGACAAACAATATTCAAATTCCTTTCATCATATTCATATATATCGGATTCCATAGACTCCTTTTTAGGACATTTTTAGGGCAATTTCTCTCCTTTTCATTTAAAAGTCGAAAATATAATCTGAAGTTTCTATCAGCGAAGTTTGTAAGTTCGTCAGCAATATACCTTCATCACCTGCATTTCGGAGTGTATATATCTCCGTTGATTCGATACGCAAGAGCATGCTCTACGTTTGAATAATTTCTAAAACGACAAACAAGTTGATGAAACAAGAATATCAGCAGTTTTGTTGTCATCATTTCGTAAGTTCTATGGTCGACCGTGACCTTGTCAGCAAATACAATTTATCATTAAGTCAAATGTTGACTGACGTTTCTCATACTTACTCAGCTATGTTAAGGACCGAAAGTTTTTCAGCTTTCACCCGACGGACCTGTTACTTTTACTTCTTTTTTATAATTGAGTTTGAATGACCATACCTATATATACTGGATTCCTAAACTTCATAAAAATCTTTACAGAGAAAGATTCATGACAGGTTCTAGTAAAGGTTCTATCAAGCCTGTTTCTTTACTCCTAACTGAAATGTTACAGCAGTAAAGGAGAAACTTTAGGAGTTCTGTACAACAGTATATTTCAGAAGCTAGTGGTGTAAATCAGATGTGGATGATTTAAAAGCTTCAGGAAAATTTAAGAAAACTAAAAATCACAAAATATTGCCACAATCAATAATATCAAAGTACATGACTTTTCAAAACTTTAAACAACCATCGCTTTCCTGATAAATTATGATCAAGGCGTTTTGACATCATAGACAGCTGCTCTTTCAATATAAATGTACCTTGTTTATTAACTTACCTTGTCATTGGTCATTTGCAAAATTATTTTGTTAAAAAACATTCTAATTCTAACACACAAGCACACCAAAATTGATTTGAAAAAGATGCTGAGGTTTCTGATTGACATTTATTCTGTAGTCTTTGGAGATGAAGTCTTCCAACAATATTTCGGAATTGCATCCCTTTATTAACAAACTCAACAAACCCATTTTTAGCTCACCTGAGCCGAAGGCTCAAGTGAGCTTTTCTGACCACATTTTGTCCGTCTTCCGTCCGTCTGTCTGTCTCTCCCTCCGTCTGTCTAGCTGTCCGTCTGTCTGTAACTTTTTCACATTTAAAACTTCTTCTCAAGAACCACTGGGCCAATTTTAACCAACCTTGGTACAAAGTTTCTTTACAGAAGGGGAGTTTAAATTCTTAAAATATAGGGCCAAGTACCTTCACAAGGGAAGATAATCAAGAAGAGATAAAACTAGGATGAGGTCATTAAAAAATCTTCTCAAGAACCACTGGGCCAGAAAAGCTGAAACTTATGTGGAAGCATCCTAGGGTAGTGTGTATTCTAAATTGTTCAAATCATGACCCCCGGGTTGGACAGGGCCAAATAAGGAATCAAAGTTTTACATAGAAATAGAATAAAATTATATAGGAAAAACTTTCTTCTTCTTCTCAAGAACCACTGGACCAGAAAAGCTGAAACTTAAGTGGAAGCATCCTGGGGTAGTATAGTATATATGAAGGGGAGTTTGCATTGTTAAAATATAGGGCTAAGTACCTTCACAAAGGGAGATAATCAAGAAAAGATAAAACTAGGATGGGGTCATTAAAAAATCTTCTTCTCAAGAACCACTGGGACAGAAAAGCTGAAACTTAAGTGGAAGCATCCTGGGGTAGTATATATTTTAAATTATTCAAATTATAACCTTCGGGGTAGGGCGGGGCCACAATTTGGAATCCAAGTTTTACATTGAAATATATACGAAAAAAATTTTAAAATCTCTTTCACAAGAACCACTGGGCCTGAAAAGCTGAAACTTATGTGGAAGCATCCTAGGGTAGGGTAGATTCTGCATTCTTCAAATTATGACCCCCTAGGGGTAGGGTGGGGTCACAATGGCTTTTACCATGGGGATAATCTCGTATCATTGCGCCATCACTTCATCGACATCGCTCTATCGCAACATCGCTGCTTTATTGTTATCACTTCATTGTCATGACATTATCATGTCATCGCATTATCAACCCAAACTTCGATTGTGCGATGATGCGATAGTGAACTACGTGGCCCTATCCGGATTTCATACATTACCCTTATATTACCCTTTTTTGACAATACTGCAACCAAATTCCGGGGGGAGGGGGCAACCGAACTTTAAATGAACCTTTCTTGTAGAAAAACTCAAGTGTAGAAAAGAAGTGGAGGAGGCCAGCCCCCCACCCCACCCCACACCCCCGATGCTACGTGCATGTAAAGATAGTTTTTACAATGTTTATTGGCATTAGTTTTGTGATTCAAGGTTTGCAAAATAATTTGATAAACGGCAGCCTTTTCTGGCCAACCGAAGAGGTTTGATATGCTACTGTCTCTCACAATGCTGGTTAATTTGCTGTATGTCCCTGTGTAAGTACCGACCCTTATTCTGGAGAAGTTGCCTATCCTTTTCTGACTGTACACATGGTTTCAAATAAATTGGAAAATGTTTCCTCAATGTATTTCTATCATTTGTTTTCTACCTGACCTCATGATCTACATTTCATTGTTCTTATAAATCTAATTTTCCGTATTGTCTTTTAATAGTATAGTTATATATTATGCAAAACAGAACAAAGACAAACATTAAGTACTCTGACTAATGACTTGGTCGATTTTTATAATTATCATCTTTTCCTTTGTCACTTGAATCAATAAACTCTAATTGGTGCTGTGTCAAACTTTCGATTCTCAGTTATTTTAATCAATGAATAAAAGAATTTAAAGAATTCTTTATTGCAAGCAAGTATACATATAATTTTAACTCTCAAGTGCTATTAGGCGGCAAAAAACATACAAAAGACAAGTATCGAATAGTTTTTCAGTTTTGATTTACAATGCATATCATTTTAGATTAAGACAATAGAAATTGATGGGTTTAATAATTATATACTTTTTAAAAGAAATTACAAGCAGAAGAAAAGGAATTTTTTAACTACGATACAACAGCACAATGCAATGTACTAGTATTCCAACACACACATAAAAAGAGCAAATTTCTAAAGCATGTTTTAAAATATGCTAGTATTCTACGATAGCAAAATTGTTTGTAATAACAACAAAGTTGTTTAAAATGTTTATGCTAGTCTTAAAAGTGATACAAATACCAACTGGTCTCAAATAAAGTATTAAAACTCCTGTTCTTTAGGTTTGTAATATTTTAAAACATTATATCTGAACTGATCAGATTTTAAGCAATTCCTCCTGAAGACATCTTAAAATAAATTTAAAATAAAAACTTTTTTTTTTACTTTTCAGCTTACTTTTATCATTTCGATAGTTTACTTTCCAAATTTAAAAGTTAAATGTAAAATCAAACGTCAAATGAATCGTGAAGATTATCAATATTTTTAAAGAATACTCTGAAATAACTAATTTTCATGGGAGGGTGGGGGGAAATTTTGTGATTTTAAAGTCATTAAGAGACGCACAAATTTATGTCTTACAAGAAATGTAATTCACAGATATAACTCATCAACAATTCTTCATCCTGGAAATTAATTTTTCATACAGTCATATTTTTCCATTTTAACAATGAAAGTTTGACTCCAAGAAAATACTAGTATATGATTTTACGGTATTCTTCATTGTAGTGATCCATTTTTAATGAAACTGCCACATAAATTATTCATTTGTAAAGGAACATGCATAATCAATGCCTATAGCATGCATTTTGAAAATTTTCAGATTGAATTACATGTGTATGAGAAAATAGTAATAGGACCACTGGTATAGTAACCTTGTCCAGAGTAATGTTTGACCCACACTGCGTCTCCCTTCTGAATAGTCAGCACCACCAGATTAGGACCAGCGTCATTATAATCACCATTACCGGCACTATAGGCCATAGCTCTGACTTTTGTAGATCTATTCAACACAATGTCTACATATATATCATTTGTACTGTAGCTCTGAACATTCACGAAGAAGACGTACGTTCCGCTGACATGAGCAGTAAATATTCCGTTACTTGGGTTGTATCCATTACCTTCGTTAGTGATGACGGAAGGAAATACAAGTGTCCCGGAATTCCAAGAACCGTCGGTGGATGACACTGAGGCGGAGAAACCTACCTTCTTTGATTTATCTACAAATATAATTCAAAGTTAGTTGTCTTTTTTATTTACCTATTGAAGATTAAAGGAGATCCAATTAAGGAATTATAGATCGTAGTTCGTGCATCTAATCAAAACCTAGCAAAAGTTGAGAAATAATACCAGCTACTTGTTTGTGCAGAGTGAAATAAGAAGAGTTAATTTAAAAAGAGAGAGAATTTGAAGCTACAGATAGCAAAGTGCGACCTTGTATGGTGTTTTCACTTCTTACTGATTTATTTTGAGTTGTTACCTAATATGTTATTCGTCACATTCATTCGGAACACCTCGAGAGAGGACACGGCAGAAGACAGTTGCAGCTGTTCATTCTTAGATTGTTTTACTTCCGCCATTATTTCCTCTAATGTTTTACTGATGTTAACTGAAATTAAAATGTGAGAAGAAAATAAATTTTTCGACATATATAAATCTAACATAACTGTGTATTTTGAGAGCAGTACAAATTATCATCATTAGAATTAATGAATGTTAAAGAATTAGATGTAATATTTTAATCAACATCTAATATATTATATCACTCGACACATTACTCAAATTATTATTTAAAAATATTTTTATTCAAAAATAAACAATGTTTTACACTGATTTTCTGATAAAATATTTTAAAGAAAAATAATGGAAATAGGATTATCTAGAATGATCAAAATGAAGCTTGAGAGAAATTTTTGTGCAATACTTATTATTTTTTGTATCTTAATAGAAGGCAAGACTAAAAAATCGATTTTTAAGTAGACATTTTCCTTTAAATATACTTGAGATCAAATTATTTTCCTAGTTTAATAATTATTTATA